ACTGGCCCGAGTTGGCACCATCATTGCGCTCTTCTCGGGCTTGGCAGATCAGTCACCGGCTTCCTGACAGCCGCTCACTGTGGCTGCTGGCCACTCATGCTGGCTGCTGGCCACACATGATAGCCCATGGCAACCCACTGCCACAGGGGCTGCAGCCCACGCCGTCGCCGGAGACTCACAGCAGCTCAGCTCCAGGTTGAACTGTTGTTCAGCATCTTAGCTGTGGAGGGCAGTGTTACTGGCCCTCATATGTGGGATCCGAACCGGGGCCCTCTGGCATCCCAAGCCAGCTCTTTACCAACGCGCCATTCGGCCGGCCCTGCACACTGCATTCTGACAGCACACTAGAGGCTCATCATATATAAGTGTACAGAGTAACTCGACAAGGCTTAAGTTTTTCTCAAGTCTGTGATGTTTTGACATTTCAAACTATTACTCTTTAATAGAAAAGATAAATCAAAGGCAGGTTACCTTGGAAGTATTTTATTTAGCAATATTCTTAAATTACATCTCATAACTTTGATCCTTCCTTAGAAGTTTATACTTAAATCTGAAACTTTTACAAAATCTTAAAGCTTCAGTTTCAACTTTAAAAATACTCAATAAAGATGGAAAAAAGGCAATAATAGATTTTAAATATGTATTCAGGATCCAATTACTTGCACTATTTTTTTCTAATTAAGGGGAAAAAATTGCGTAAATATTCTTCCTAACACCAGAGACTATCCTGTGTGTCTTCATTTGAATTAAGTCCCTATATTAGCCACATGTTTCTGTCCTTTGAAAGCCATGCTAATGCATATATTTTATGAAAGAATTGGAGAAACTGTTTTTTTCTACCAATTTCTCCTAAAACATGTTTTATTCTCTTACAGCTTTCATTTCCAGAAAAACAGATATTGCTTCTTTCTGTGTAAGAAACGCTATTGCTATAAATCTGTTTTCCCCTCCCACTGGAAAATATTATCTAATCTTTTCATACTCTAAATAAAAATTCAGCTGTTAGTGTTCAAGAATTCTGAAATGTAATTTTTCTAGTCTGTGTGTCCATGGCAGCAGACAAGACTAACTTCCATCCAGAATATAAAACAGAGTTATTGAAGATGTAATCTACAAGTATATTATATCAATAGTACACAGCTATTGCCTGGCCTGCTCCCAAAACTCCTCTCTGCCTATGAAAACTTCACTCATTCTCCACTTATAGTCCAGGACGGTCTAGATGAGCCTGAGACTCACATTGGCCAATGGAATTCTCCCAATGGGAACCTCCCCCTGCTCCCCAGACTTTTGCTGGAATAATAGAGAAATATGCATTCTGTCCCTCTATGATTGTGGGTATTATTTTCTTCAGTGTCCATCTCACCTGTCTCCCATTGTATATTTGGCTTGGGTGGGACTGATACAACCCCAACTTCAGAGGTGAGTCCTAATTGGTATAAGCCAATCAGTAGAGTTCCTCCTTCTCTTGCCCTACATATTGGTTCCAGGATGGTCAATGACCTGAGTTGTTCCTCACAGAATGAAATATAGGACTTCTGTCCAATAACTCAGGAGAAAGAGTTGTTCCCTTAACTCTGATTGATGTGGTGTGTATCTGTGAGGCCTAGGACCAGCTGACACACAAAGAGGGGCTAAAAGAATCCCAGAGAGTTTGATCAAACCGCATCCACGCGCATCTAAGCCACTGGAATACATCTGGACTGCTATCTGTTAGGTGAGCCAGTATATTTATTATTTAAACCAGTTTGTGCTGATGATCATGTCTGCTGATGTTCTCATTACCGGATTTGCCATTCCATGGAGACAGCTCACCTGAGCATCAAGTCAAAGTGGAGGAAAGCAGAACCAGGAAAGAGAGGGGAGACTGATTGCTGGTAACAGCACTTGGGGTTCCTTCTTCATATGTAATTAATACAGTATTGTTTGTTATTTAAATTCATTTGAGTTGGCTTTCTTCTACTTTTAAATGTGAAATCCAGACTTATTCAGTGTGTTTCTGGTTTCTACAGTTTACTGGCTCCAAGACTAGATTATTCTCCCATTGAAAGAACCATCATAAGAACAAGATTTCATAATAGAACAAAGAAATAAAATCCTTCAGAACTAAGTTGAGTATAGTATAACCATTGGTCTGAAAACCTTAATTTATTATTTAGGCAGATCACCAATTTGCTACTGTAAAGGATCATACTGACTAACAATGATAGAAAACCTTAAAAAATGGCTTAGATAAATTCCATCACTCTCTCAATGCCTAGTTAGGTGCTGATTCTATATGCTCCAATTGGATGATTATTATCTATATTACATTCCAGGCTGCCAAGGAGGGTCAAGGCTTCCTCTCTCTAAGACCACCACCAGAAGTAAAGATTGTATGGATCGAGGCTAGGAGCACTGCTAAGCTCCAGTGCTAAAGGCTAATACTTCCAATATGACACAAAGGGTTTGACATCCCTATGGTTTCATTCTACAGTCATCCTTTTGGAATCTCCTCTCTTAGGGTGCCGTATTTATGGTGTGTGGGGGGATACTATTCTGGGCTTTTTCCTTCTCCCATGCAACTATTATTGTCAGGGGAATTTTGGCCTCTTTTTTCTCAGGGTGTTTCTACTCCCATTACTCTCAAGCCCTGACAAATGGACAGAATATCAGCAAAGTCAGATAAACAGTACATAAGTTCAATGGTTAAAATAGAGGTTGAAAAAGAGAGCAGCTGTATTGGACAATATTTTGACCAGCCTATCAAAAAAAACTCTCATAAATAAATTCTATCCCAGAATAAAGGATACCTCAACTCTAACCTAGATGTCAGTCATAGAAAACTATGTATTTGACATTCCCTGAATTCATTATGCTTTTAAACTTGCTATGCTGCAATTCCTCATCTGTATTAATGGATGCAATAATTGTACTTATAAAGCTATTATGAGTTATGAAAAAATTAACTGTATATATAGTCCCTAGGCACACAGAAAGTGTTAGGTATTAAAACATATCTCTACCATGGCCTTTATTAGATTGTGATAGAATTACAATATTTCTTCTAGTAGACTGTGTGATTTGTGAGGGTAGACTCTGATTAATTTGTATTTATGCACGCAATGTTTTGCAAAATTAGGAAGTTCTCCATAAACATATGTCCAGTACATAAATAACTGAATGTTTAGAGTTCAAACTTCTATTGGCTACAAGGGAGAATGGGAAAAAGACTTTCCCTATAAATATTTAAGCTATACACAAATCATATTTAAATCATCATATATAAATGCAAATAACAATATAATAATGTGATAATTTTCAAGATGTGTGCTTTGCATTCCTCAACTCAAATTTTGTATTATCTCCGGATTTGAAGGGTAGGTAGTACAGATAACAAAAAAAGCAAACACTGATCTAGTATGCACAGATTAAAGTAAATCAGCGTGTTCATGATGAGAATCAGAAAGTAGGTCTAAATGTCTTTTTTTCCCTTCCCCTTATTCTTTCTCTCCTCTATGAAGGAACTCAAATTTACTTCCGGAGTATGTACTACTTCTCTTACACTACTAATAGAGGGAAGTACTAAAATGTCTGAGGATTGACAAGAAGTAGAAGAGCTAGCAAGGTGTTCCCTGAAAAGGTTGTGTACGCAAAGGGGTTAAGAGACCAAAGAACGAGGCCGACAAGTCCAGCTTATCCATTAATGGGTTTAAAAGGGAACTTAGACAGAAACGGTCCTGGGTGGCTGCAGGACATTCAGATCTCTACATCTCCCACTGCCTAGACCACCCTTTTTTATCCCCCCTTGGAGATGGGCCTAAGTGCTAGGAAAAGAGTCTATGGGTAGTCAGGGGGAGACAAGGAGCTAGATACTAACAGGCCCTGGCGCCAGGGACAGCTAAGAGATAGATAACATCAAGGGCGCCAAGCCCCAGAGGAAAGAGTAATGGAAACTTCCTGACCAGCCTGAAACCTCTCTACACATTCCAGAGTCCACCAGGGGGAAGGGTAGCGAATCAAAGTTCCGGAGTCATTTACTCAAGCTGGCAGACTGGCTTCAAGATGGAGTCAGCTTTTCAAGATGGGGTTGTGATTATATGCTCTTGGGTCTCTTATTTATAAGGAACCACTCCTTGGCTTCTCCTCCAAATCTAAATCATCCCAGTTTCCCAAGAATATATCCACCTATTGCAAGCATTTAGTTCTTGTATGCTTTCAATAGTACCAGTCTTTCAATCAAATCCTTGAACGTTTTTAAAGCTCTGGGCTTCAAAACCAGCCTTCGGGCTTACAGGGAGCTTATCAGTGCTGCCCATAATGACAGATGTGTATGGATCCAACGAAAAATTTTCATTCACAATGACAGTACTGCAGCCTCACAATTTTGAACATTATTTGCAAAGTGTATAGTCTATGAAGGCTTGAAGGAAATGCTAAAATTAAAAGGCAAGGAAAACATTTTTTATGATGACCTGTTTAAAAACTAGGAAAAAAAAAACCCAACTTACTTTTTGGGGGGTTTATGTTCTCCAAATAGGCCAAGGAAATCAAGTTAAGCATAATATACTTATAGATTATTAAACAACAAAATTTATTGTGTAACTGCAAGAAGTGCATCATATTTATTTTTTTTAAAGGTATCCAGTCTTCAAACTTAAAAGTTTACTTCCATTTTCCCTCATGGCTTCTGTACTTCCCAATGATTTTTATGAGGATAGTTGTTCAAATTAGAATCTCTGAAAGGCATCCTTTTTTGAAACTTAAAATGTCCTTGGCATTTAGAATATCATTCATTTAGGTGCATTTCATAAACCTAGAAACATTAAAATTCTAACTAAAATGTTGAAGAATACTGGAGTTACTAAAAGAGGTTTTAAACAAATTTCTGGAGATTTAATGTAAAGCAGATTAATTTTCTGCACAAATAGTTTAGGGTTGCACAATTTGAAAAAAGAAACTAATGTCTCAAATTTCCTTTATGCTTTTCCTTACCAGGAGATGATTTTTAGTATTTCTTTACCTGTAGGCATGATCCACTTTTGTCAGGGTTCACAAAGCTAGCAACAGCTGTCATAACATACAGTCATATCCTTCAAGAAAAAAAACAGTCATCAAAGGTCCTTATGTTTCTTTCTGCCATTATAAATACGTAGACAAAAAATAAAATAGGTCTCTATCAAAAAATGGACTTACTGGATTTGTGGAGGAAGACAAAGAAGGGCCTTGGTAGAGTTCATGGCCTTTCCTCTGACTCTAGCTTCCTCACTGTGATTCTTGATTAGACGCTATTGCATTTTCCATTGGCCTGTGAGAGACATGTAATTAATCTTTGATAAACTGAGCTATTTCCAGACTGAAGCCTTTTACATAATTTTGAAAGATCTTTAAAAAAAAACACCCAGATTTCAGGACTGTTCTGTAAAAAACATTTAGCAATGCAGCAATCCTACTGGCCATCTTTAACTCATCCCCCTCCCCCCACTCCCACCCTATCCCCAACCACCTGGCCCCCTCACAAAGGTCTACACTTTAGGAAATAGTCTAGAAAACCTTAAGCTATAGAGTGGTTTCATCCTTGGGTTATAGAATTGCTATATAAGAAACATCTACTCAAGGATTGTTGTTCAAACCTAGGTAGTTATGTCTAGAATATTAAGTTCAATTTTAAAAATGAGAGCTCTATATTCCTTGGGCTTTTTTGAGAGTATAATGATGAGAGTGGTAAGAGGCCTTCTGTGGTAGGATGAATAATTGCCCCCCACCCCCAGGTATGTCCGTATTCTAATTCTCAGAACCTGTGAATGTGTTACATAGCAAAAAGGACTTTGCAGATGTGATTAAGGATTTTGAAATGGGAAGATTATCCAGGTACCCCAATGTAATCACAGGGATGCTCATAAAAGGGAGGCAGGAAGGTTGCAGTTAGAAAAAGATGTTAGACAGGAGTAGAGAGAGATTGGAAAATGTTATGCGCTGGCTTTGAAGATAGGAGAGGGGACCATGAGCCAAGGAATGCAGGTGGCCTCCAGAAACTGCAAAAGGTGAGGAAATGTATTCTCCCTTGGAACCTCCAGAAGGAACTCAACCCTGTGACACCTTGATTTTAGCCCACAGAGATTGATTTTGGACTTCTGATGTCCAGAACTATGAGAAAATAAACTTGTGTTGTTTTAAGTCACTAAATGTGTGATAATGTGTTACAATAGCAATAGGAAACTAATTGCTATCTTCTCTAGTAGATTTCCAATATATACAGGTATATAGACAACTGCTATTAACAACTACAAGTGATCCTAATGTCAACACTGAAGAATTAATTCACTGAACAACAGAGCCTCAGGGATGGAGAATCTTGCTGGGTAAATCACATTTAAATGATTGCCCTTTGGTATAATTATAATTTTATTCCCTGGCTGAAATGTGATTTGTCCAGTGACAGAAATTAAAGCAGACCTTAGGGCAATGAGGGAAAGAATTCCACCTTTACCTGAGGATTAGGACAGAAAGTTTACAGGAAAGGGCTTGTTCTGGCCCAGTATGTAGTGAGGTAAGAAATCCTTCTGATGCAACTACCTATCCATTACATGGATACCAAGAGTAAACTCTTTATCTGTTCTCTTATTTTCTTTTTCTCTGAAAGATCTCTATAATGCAATAACTATAGATTTGAAGCCCAGGTTTGTGAGTCCACAAATTATACTGACACAGGGAAAGGGGTTTCTTCACCATGCTTGACCTCTAAGAAATCAGGGTGGGACCATCTATAGTGACATGTGTTAGGCACTAAAACACCATTTACCTTAGAGGTAGAGATCCATCAATTTTCAAAGCAACACTTTATAGAAGCAACAGCATCAACAGAAGACTTCCCTGGTGAGTAAACCAGATATTCTGGTCATGATACAAGAAGTACCATGGCCTTAGTAAGCATCTCTGAGAATCTTAGGCTTCATTGAGACAGCCTGTGTAGAGATGAAAGACACACTTGCTCTATTTAATGATGTTAGGAATTTTTAATTTGAATGTTAAAAGATAAGTGACCTGGTTTTGGATGTGCCACTTGGTAAAGTGATATATTTTCATTCATAGGGGTTCCAGTCATGATGGAGCAGCTTATACCAGACTAATGTTGTGCCAGAAACAAGTATAAAAGCTGAGCAAAATATAACTATATAAAGCATTTGTTTGAAGACAACTGATGCAGACACAGTTTGAGGGGCTGATTCCTGACAGAAGGGAAGCATAGCAAGGAGAGCTCTAAAGTCAATCTGGCCTTTTCCCTGAGGCATTTCCTAATTCACAAAAAGAGGGACTAGATTCTGAGTAAAAAGCTACAGGCTTACTGGTAGAGGCAAGAGAGGACTGGGCTCAAGTCTGCCAAAGAGGTTGAAATTAGAGGGGCAAAATTTCAGGGGAAGAAATGACAGAGAAGTAAGCCCAAAACTCTGCATTTGATTTTCTCTTGAGTTTGTGAACTTTTAAGCTGTATATGGACAGAGTAAGGCCAACAAATCCACCAGAAAACAGCAGCTATGAGGCTCAAGCTGAGCAGAAATTTCTTGCTCAGGAGACAGATGATGGAGTTCAGAGATTGCTAAAATAGAGAATTTGTAAACACCCAGACTTTTATTTGAGACAGCAGAAAGGCTATGCCTATGGAAATAAATCTGTCTGAAACAGACCTGCCCGAATAAATACTAACACCAGCCTTCCTTGGAATCAATGTGGTGTGCCTGCACACTATCTGCCTCCCAGAAGAAAACGTCATCTCCACAATTGTTCATCACAATATCCAGCATTCAGTTAAAAAGTATGAGCCATGCTAAAAAAAACAGGAATGAATGACTCAAACCAAGAACAGAACAATAGAAACAGGTCCACAGATATGGGAGTTTTACTTAAGTATGTCATACTAAATAAGCATATTTAATGTTTAGAACAAGAAAAAAAAATGGAGAATTTCAGCATAACCATGACTCCATCAATGGGAATCAAATTTTACAACTGAAAAATACTTCATCTGAAATTAAAACTTTAATCTGTGAGACTTTTGCCTCCAGATAGAATGTGGAAGATATTAATAGGCCATAACTCTCAAGTGAACTAGAAAAAAAATCAGATAAATTACAAAACCTATGTCTTTAGAAACACTACAAACTTGTGGAAGGAGGAATTGATGAACCAAAATACCAGAATCAGAGCATGTACAGACTCACTATACTCCCCAGGAAAAAGCTAGTTGGCAAATTCAGCTTACCTCTGTAAATCGAGGAAATATAAAGGCTTCAAACTTCTGCCATATTGTGGATTTGAGGGTTCAAGGCAAATTTTACATGTCTCCAACACCAGAATAACTTGCATCCCATCTGGGTTACAGGTGGATTCATAGAAATCCCCTTTCTGCTGCTTTAGATGCAATGGTCTAATCTTAATTATTGGCATGTTGTCCTAAAACATTTTAATGTTTAACTCAATTTTACTTCACTATGAAAGGAAGACTCATTTTTCTTTTAATATTATTTTATTGGCTATTAACTGCTTAGGTTATTGGTGAGTACATGGATAGAAAAGTAGTTCTTGTCTTTGAGTCAATAGCAAAAAACATCAAGCGATGTGTATTTCATCATATGTTGTGTGTGAGGAAGGGTGGTGAAGTTCTGTACACGTCCTTCAAAGGCTACCTCAAAAGTCACACCTTCCGTTAAGATTTCCTTGATTTCCTGCCCTCCACTACTCAAGATATAAACAGTATCTCTTTTCTGCTCTCCCATAGCACTTTATTTATTCCATCATTAGGACTCTTCTCATTTCTCATTTTGGCTAGTAATATAGGGTTTTTTTTTCATGTATATGTCTAATTAGTGCCCTTATTAGAATCAAAACCCCGAGAGCATGATATGATTTGATTAACTTTTGAATTCAGTACAGTGATGAGTATAGTGTATTACATATATTCCGGAATTCTTGGGAGTTAGACATTCTCTCTTCTACATTTCCATGTTATATATACCACAAATGTACACAGCATAATTTATCCCTTTGCTTCTTTCCCAATACACTGTGAGCTTTCTTTGGAGAAAAAGCCCAAATCTTGTCTATCTTTATTTTCAAAGTTCTTGGCAACTTTAAATGTGTGTGCACATTTGCACTCACCCCCCCCCCCGTGTGTGTGTGTGTGTGTGTGTGTGTATACAAAATGAATAACACCCACTTAAGATTTGTTGCATGAATGAGTAAATAGCATAGAGAAAAGAGGCAGACAGGCTAGAGTTTGAAAACAAGCTCTGCCACTTGTGACAAGGATAAAATATTTAAAGTTGAAGTGTTCTCATTTGTAACATAGGGAAGGTAAATTTCCTGCTAGTTTGGCCTTTTTTGAAGCACTTTCGAAGCTTTAGGGACTGTAAACTATTTAGAGTCTGTGAAGGCACTAGGTTAGGGGAGTAACAAATTCCTCATAAAGGCCTTTTCTACACAATCGTAACTTTTGTTTTCATTTTCTATCAATCATGCCTTCTTTATCAACCACCAAAGCTTTCTTATTATTCTTATTGCATTTTTTTCTCAATTCTGATCATTGCTAACCAGAAAAACATGTCTTTTGCCCCTTGTCATAATTATGAATTCTTGCTACAACTTTTGGGACGTTTGTATATATGTACATGTAAGTTGATTGCTAAGGTAGGTGTGTGTATAATATATGCATTTCTTATGGATAGCATTCTAACCCAGGTATTAACATTAGGACAGGACATAATCACCATCTTATCTAGAGGCAGTGATGTCCAAGGCCTTAATCACCAACATTTGAATTAAATATTTTACACTGCTTTCCTAATGCTTTATTGATATAATCCTAACAACTCTCGTGTCAACACATTTAAAAATACCTTTAAAAACTTGTTTAAAAGGATGCGTTTTAAGTAGTACTTACAGGGAGTGGCCTCTGCCCCTTGGAAAAATTATGGAAATAATTACATACTTTTGTTAAAGTATATTGAATTTTCTCATTTGAAGCTGATTATTGTGTATGGAATACTTACTATAGTCACTATATCACTTTTTAGCTAACATTTATACATAAATTCTAAAATGTTTTGGCTTTCAGACTCAATAGCAGTTGATACACTTTACTGAGCTTCAAATGTGACACCTGATGCAATAATTTTGTAGATTCTGAGAACCTCATACATATAGTCTAAAAAAAGATATATCTAATAGTATTTATGAGGTCAAGGCCTTGCACATTTTACCAGGGCCAACTTATTTTGCTTAGGTTCTGCTAAAGACCCTCTAATCAAAGTCATGCATCTGTGTGCCTCCTTGTAAAATCCTGTTTTAGCAAGAACCCTGCTTAAGTCAGTTTAGCAAGACCACTCCCTACCCCCAGCCCCTTATCTAATCACTCTGAATATACCATCAAGTTCCTTATCCTCCACCCTCCTTCAGGTGATGTCTCATTACTCTGGCCTGTCTTCAGCAAGAATCCTGTTAGGTGGGTTTACCCATAATCCCCTCCCCCTCAGTGCCCTTACCCCTAAGGTTCCCTTAGTAATTTTCCATACACTGACCCCCACCCTGCTCCTTGGCTAAAATTTCCACTTGCCCATTCTATATTTGGAGTCCAGCCCAATGTCTCTCCCAGTGCAAAATTCTAGCGCAATTCTAGCGCATACCTATCTTGATGGTTCTGACTAGTCTGCCTAACCATCTTTAACAAGTACCAAAAATAATTTTTTCTATAACGCACGCTGTATCCAAGGAAGCTTAGGATAAAAGTTCCAAGGACTTGACGCAAGTCTGTTGGAAACTATACATCAAATGCATGCCCTATAAAAAGTTCAAATTGCAAATACAGTATATTCTTTGTATACATGCTACTTTTGATAAAGTCCCTTATTCTGTGATGTTACTGCCATCCAAGTTTCCTAAAAAATGCAATTTTTTCTAACAATGAAAGGGCTTTTTTTGTTTTTCTCTTTTCTTTTTTCCATCTTAGCCCTTTTGAGGAATCCTTTTTAGGAATCTTCACTGAGCTTCCTGCTGGCCTTGAGCCTCACTTTTTTCCCTATGCCTGAGGACTGGACCAACAAACACTCGGTAAGAAGAATTTGGCTTTGGGGAGTGCTATATTGAGTGACAAATGGATGAGGATGAAGGTTTTATTGAAACATCTGAACCGCATTTAATTTTCCGTGTTGCTTTATTTGTTCCTTAGCCCTCAGGATATTGAGTTTTGTGGGCTCTGGTTGGGTCGTTGGTACTTCAGGCGTTTAGGAACATAATCTGCTTTTCCCGTTAGGATAATATCCACATCTGTGTTAAGGGCGACTTACTCCGAAGTGTTTTACATAGCATTTTTCTAAACCTCCTGAACGAACAAAATTTCCCTGTGAGCGCTGGCACTGCTTCAGCGGCCTCTGGTGACCTTCTGGCTTGGCAACCTGCGCCCCACTCCGCAGGAATCAAGCCTGACCCAGCGTGGCCTTGCGCGCCACCGCCTCGCCAGACCCTCTCTCCCGCTTTCCCTCCCACCGCCCTGGTTCCAGTTTCCACACTGCAGCCTCAGCCGTCTGCGACAGCGACACCACCTCCTCCCCTCCCACGGCTCCCCCGCGACTTCGCCGCGCCAGACAGCGGGTAACCGCCGCCTCCGCTGGGGCATCCCGGCTCCATAGGCCTAGCGCGCTCCAGGCACCTGCCTCTCACTGGTCACCACTGCTGCCCCTCTCCCCGCGGCCCCCTCAGCAATTGGTCCCAGGCTGCCCTTCGTCATCCTCGGCCTCTCGGCGAGTCCCGCCTCCGTCGCCGGGTCATTTAAGTTTATCACAAATAAATAAATAAAGGAGGAAATAGAAATGCGTAGAAAGTAAAAGCAGTCGAGAAGGGGGCGGGGGCGTGGAGGAAAAGAGGGGAGGAGGGGCGGAGGAGTAGACAACCAAACTTGATCGTATCCGTATTGACCAATCACGGCTCATTCCAGTCCGGTCTGACGGGCTGTCTCGACCAATAGCGTCCCACCTCTCGGATCACTGAACAACGAGAAACGACTGACCTCTCCAGAATGGGCGAGGGGGGAGAGGAGAGGGGGGAGTGAAGTGAGAAGACTGTGGACCAATCGCCTGTTAACAGTTCTCTGAGCGATGTTGCCGCGCCCCAATAAGTGCTTGAGATAGCGGATTGGGCTTCTTTTAGCCCAATCGAAGGTGATAGAGATGAGGGAAGAGGGAGATGGAGGCGGGGACATGGGAGGGGAGGAGGAAGAGTGCATTTTGTTTATGGGCGGCAACCTCACGAGGAGCGTCCCATTCTTATAGGCTCACTGAAGCCAAGAATGGCATAAGAGCAACCCAATAGTGGGGGAAGACAGAGGGTTCTCGGCGTGAGGCGCCCAATGTGGACCTTCTACCGAAGAAGTAAGGGCGGGGGAAGTTTAGGAGTTGAGGAAAGAAGATTAAAGAGCGCGAGGAGGTAACGCCAAAAACTCTAATTTGTTGTAGGGCGGGCGGGAGGGGTGTGTGCGTGCCGAGGGGGATGAGGCGTCTGCGAGGCGCTTGGAGTAGGGGGCGGCGGGACGAGAAAGGAAGGGAGCGGGGTGAGGCTGGCGAAGCGAGTTTGAGTGGCGAGCCCGCGGGCTGTCGGCCGGCCGAGCGCGCGCCCCTGCGCCCCGCCCCGCTCGCGCCGCCTCTCTCCAGGCGCCCCTCCTCGCGCCCGGCGGCGACTACGTCCTCACCCGACCTGGCTGGGAGGGAGGGAGCGCGGGGAGGGTCTCGGGTCCCAGGAGCGGGCGGGGCATCCCGCAGCTGGAAACGTGTCTTTACCTACTTCTCTCTACTCCCTGCGTCTGGAGCTGCCGCTTCCAAGAAGAGGAGCTGAGGGGGACTAGCCTGGGCTCTGGAGCTGCTAGAGGCGCCCGCTTGTCTTCCGCCCCCCTCTCCCCTGGCCCTCCCCTGCTTGCCTTGGCTCTCGCGGTCTCTGGAGCGTCTTCAGAGAACTGGGGGGGCGGGAGGTGTCCTGGCCCCAGAGCTGCTGGACGCCCCCGCCAGACCTCGGAGCTGCCCCCGCCTGCTTCGCTGCTACGATTAGAGAGGAGGGGCCTTGGGAAAGGAAGACACCTTTCCTTCTGTCTCTCCTCTTTTGGGCCCCTTTGGAAACATTAAAAAAATGTTGACGCTTTTCAGTAGCTGAGATAAAACGATTGGAAGGTTTGGAAAGTTGAAAAGAATTGCACTCTCACATTGTTGAATGCATTACTATCTGGCTTTCTGGTTCTCTCCCACCATCCACCCCACGCCCCCCACCTCCCTGAATCTGTTATCGTTTCTAAGGATGCTGAAAAGGCAGGAGGCAGGGATTTTTCCAAAAGTTCTGTTGCTAAACACACTTGCACAAGCATATGCTAGGTACACACATAAACTATAAACATTAGCTAAAAACACAATATGGCGTACAGCTACACTACCTAGCGCTGTTATCCGCTGATCTAACAGTGAACCCGGTTGAATGGGGGGTCAGTAGCAGGATAATAGTTCTCCAATAAAAATCCGAATGGAACAAAGTAATTTGGTAGCATATGGGTTAAGTACTGTCCTCAGAGTCAGCATTGGCCCAAGCTAAGTTGAACATGTTAACTTCCTAGACATGTGAAAATTGTCTTCATTACTTACCATTAAAAATAACAAAATGTTGCCAGAGTTTAGTTTTCTCACTCGGTGGTCATGTGTAAATTCCAGCCAATAAAATTAGCAGATGCCACTTATTGCCGCAATGTTTTCAAGTGAACAGAAATCTAAAGTTACTATAGTAACTTTGGAAGTTTTGAAACATAAGTTATAATGATCATTTTGTAAATAAATTCTATAGCTATAAACAGTACATTTAAATGATAATCAGTTATTATTAAATTCATAAATTTACTTTTCTACCTGTTGCTCCTAATCCCAAGTACCCTTTGCTTGCCCCCCAGGGAATAGTTAAGCTATACCCTCAACCCACACATGTAAATTTGACCAGTCCAGATTTGTCTACTTGATGCATTTATGCTTTACAACTAGGCGTTTTTACGTTTCTAGGAAAAGAACAAAAAAACCCCAGAACAATGACATTGATTTTTTATGCGTTTGCTCTTTCGCATTCTTATTCAGAATGTATCAAAGTTGTCCATGCACATGTAGTGTGGGTGATATCACTGTGCCCTTGGGAATAGTCTTCTCAAGGAAGCTTTTGGAATTGTCCTTCAAGAATTGCTGTTGTTACTCATTGTTCAGTGCTCAAGGTTTAATTCTCAAAATTAGGATTGTGAGTTCCATTGAGCTCAAGTTTGGAGGACTTTAGGCTTGAGGATATATGGTGCTCAAATAAACAGCTGAGAAGAAGAAAAGTGAGTTTTCTAGAAATTTATTAGTTGCTCAGTGAGTCCAGCAGTTGGGATATTTTTGGTTTTGTGATTTCAGATCTCCCAGACCAGTGGATTATTTAGGTCTTTTGTATATGAGATCAGGTGACAAGTTCACGGGCTTCCAGCCTTCAAAGCAATATACACCCTTTCATGGTTAGGTCCTGATTTTAACCAACTAAAGAAAGAAGTTTAAGACTAAAAATGGTCAGATTATATCCATTTCCAGGAACAATTCCTTATGCTTACCAGTCTAGTCCAGTTAAGATGCCAGTATTTTAAGATTACAAATACTACACCGTGAAAATACAGGTATAATTCACGTGTACGTTGACTAGCTACTAAGACAATATGAGTTTAAGAATAATACTAGAGGAAGAACTTGTATGGGAGAGTTATAATTTGGGATGTGTGTGTATGTTTAGAAATACTAGTTGATGTTGATGCCAGTTTCCTATGTACTTAGTTCAGAAAGTTTTGAGACCCACAAATATTTAACTATTCTTGCTGTCACATTAATACGATTTGACTGCTTGGTACAGGAATAAAATCTAAGAAAAAAGCTTTAAATGAATTACCTGTATCTCAGTAGCGAAAGTCTTTAGAAGACTTTCTAACCAAATTGGACTTCCTAGAAAAAGGCTAGGCTAGACTGAATAATTAGGTGAGTTTAGAAGAGCAATAAAAGATACGACTAAATTCCTGTAAAGGATCTAAAATTTATAAGTGAATTACAAATTATTCCGAATATTTTAGAATGAGTGGTAAGGAGAGACTGCTTTAAAACATTTAGAATACAAAAGTGGAACTTGATGGGCTCTGCTTTATTCTCTGAAATAATCATGTTTTTCTGAAATGCATGTTTAAATTCAAGAGCTTGTTCCAGACACTGTTTTATAGAGACTTGGGAGGTAACAGTGAACAAGAAATAAAATTACATGCCCTTGTAGAGTTTATATTTTAATGTCACATACACGTGTGCTTCACATTGTTAGGAGAAGAGATTTTTGGATGAAACTTTAAAACCTAGCTGTTTTCTCGTTTTAGGGAATACATTTTGAAAGACCTTACAGAGTTTGAGGGGCAGGGAGGTGTTTACCAATTGCCAATGATAAGAAAGGAAGAGCTTACTTTTTTCTTATTTTTACTCTTTGTTATTATCATGAAACATTTTCCATACATTAGGTCTTTTTTTTTTTAAACGGATTAGGGGTTTTATTTTATTTTTTTTATTTTCATAATTTTAAGCATGCCTTTGAAATAAAATGTTATTCTGTAGTAAAAAAAATCTGTCTTGAAATTTACTACAATTCCTATGGAGCTTTTGTTAGCAAATTGTGGTAAAACATAAGCTAGAATATGTTAATTTTTTAGTTCGAATTTGATTTAGGAATAGACCTGAAAATCAAGTACCTAAATCTTTTTCAGTTGTGGTTTTATCAAGAGAAGATGGAAATTTGTTGTAATTAATTTATAAGTGACATTAAAGAGCGAGAGAGAGAGAAAAAAGAGGCCTGCAAAAAATGCTTTGTTATTTAAACCTTTCTTTCAAACTACAAAAGCATTTGATTGGCACTTCTCTGATTTAATAGACCATTTGTAATGCAAGAGGAACATTACAGAAGATTTTAGCATTACTTTAAATCTAATCATTTAGTCTGTAGGTGTAAAAATCCTAGGTTTCTAACAGAAGGAAACTTGGTACCTGGTTAAAGGAGTAGATGATTTAAAGCTGAGTTTGTTGCTCTAAGTAGTAGGTGTCTCACCTTTCCAAAACCTAGTTCATAGTTCTCAAATAACAAGTTCTGATTTTCGTTATTTTTCTGTCATGGTGTGTCTTATTTCGTTAGCTAAATACAAGTTCAGTTCTTAAGTAGGATAACTTTTTTTACACAATCCCTGCACCACTGGCCTTCCTGTCCTCTGCTCTGAAGGGCTTGTATTTCTTTACCTATATTAGATCTCTGTTTATGCTAATTTGTAGTATAATCACCTCTTCCAGAAAGGGTCCAGATTAATGCACTTTAGAGAACGTTGAGGTTGCTTCTGGCTATTTGTATACAGGACTGCCAGCATCTGAAAGCTATAAATAGGAAGCTTTAGGCAGAAAAGCAGGGGCTATAACTCATGGAATATATTGTTTTAGCTGAAATCTTTTTTAAAGAGCAAAGTGGAAGAATGTTTGATAGAATGTTAAAAACTAAGAACTTTTCCTAATTCTGGTGAGAATGGTTGATCTATGTGTGTTTATATGCATGCGAGTATATATTTATATATGAGCAGTTTTTGAATAAAGACATATTTCAGTACTGGATAAATAATCCCAGTCCTGCCTTGTGGTCCTTGACCTGGAAGGCATTCAAAGTTCCCAGGTGATTTTGTTTAACTAAATTTTTTAGTTACCAAAACTTTACTCTGCGCAACAGAGAAACACAAGCTAATTAAATCTTTGTAAATTTTGTGATAATTTTATATTCAAAGATATTTTGGAAGATTTTGAAAAGCATTGTTACAAAGCAGCCCATAAAATGAATGAAGTCTATAGTGAAGAGTTCTTAGAACCCTGGATCCACATAAGTTGAGAGTTTCAAGCAGACATATTCATAGGGTGAAAGATAAAATCTTGACATCTGTCAAATTTTTATAGTAATAAAACAAGCATGACTAATTCTATTAATATTCATATTTTTAAGGTGAGTGTAAGTATGCGTACAGTGCATTTTTAGTCAAAATTTGGGGTGTTATTGGCTAGACACAGTCATTTCTTTGCCAGAGATACTAGGCTGTGTGAGGGCTAACCATCTGTCAAGTGATAGAGACAAAGAAAGGTTTAATATCCTAGTCTAAAATTTCCACAAACTTGTTTTGAATTGTATTGTCATTTTGTTTTGGCCTTCATACTCTGTGTTGAATATGCACTGGGTCAGTCACCCCACTTTGTTTTATGAACAAACTATTCAAGGTCTGGATAAGGTTATTGTCACAGCTGATGTAATCTTGAGGCAAGATAAAATATGTTTTGATTTTGCTTTCATGTAATGATCAAAAACTCACAAGTGGGCCACCCACTAGCAGTTATACAAAAGACTTCAAGCACACTTATTTTCACCCACCCGATCTGAATTTTGGGTGTCTTAGTTCTTTTGCTTTATAATTCAAGCCTAGTCTTTAAACCCATTTCCAGAGCTGTTTGGGAATGGGGGGAAAGTATCAACAAGAATCCAGATTGCCTGTTTTAGGTACAATATGGTGTGATGTGAAACTGAAACAGCAGATTGGTGAGAAACTTCAGTTTCAAACAAATATAAACTAGTTTGTTCAGTTAAGTCATACACAAAACAGCAGTGTCTATTGAAAGGGCAACATTTTTTGTTTGTTTGTTTTTTTGAGTAATTTCCACATTATGAGGTCACTATGGTTCTTTGGACCAGTAGTCTACTTCCAAGGCATCATATAAGAAAAATAAGCCTTGATGATATTGCTGATTGTAATGATATACTTAGATATGGCAGGCTGAGA